GTGAACTTTCTGTTTTCTCATTGTTAGTGTCAGGAACAAGACAAGGGTGCCCACTCTCACCACTACTATTCAACATAGTTTTGGAAGTGTTGGCCACAGCAATCGGAACAGAAAAAGAAATAAAAGGAATCCAGATAGGAAAAGAAGAAGTAAAACTGTCACTGTTGGCAGATGACATGATCCTCTACATAGAAAACCCTAGACTCTACCAGAAAATTACTAGAACTAATCAATGAGTATAGTGAAGTTGCAGGATATAAAATTAACACAGAGAAATACACAGGTTTCTTGAGCTCTTTCTCTGCCTAGCGTCTTCCTCTCCAGTGAGCATCCCCAAATATCTCAGCTGACTCAGCAACCTGGTACTATCTCTGGTTCCTTAAATCCGCAAAAATTACTTGGCTCTGCTTGATTTTCTCTGTGAAGCATGTTTTGCAAACTCAACAGTGATTGTAGGGTTAACCTTATTGTTTTCTGTTAAGGCAGGAAAACAGTCCTGCTCTGCCTCTTGTCTTTTTACTGAAAAGGGTCATTTTATACATTTTGTCTAGTTTCCTGTGTTTACTCTGCTGTTTTAGCACTTACTCGTGCCTGGAAGTAGAAGCCCCACCTGAGCTGTAGTTATTGTCAGTTTCACAGACATGGGACTAATTGCATAGTGGGAATATATAAGATAACATTAAAATTTATTGAAAAGAAGTTATTAAATAGAATAATAAACTTTTATCTTCAAAAGTGTTAAAAATACTCTTAATGTATATTATTCTTTGTCAAATACAGATCAGTAAACTGCCAAAGTAAGCATCATGCTATAGAATGTGCTCTGTAGGTGCAAATAATTACAGAGGGTTGACATTTTTGTTTCTTATGGGACTGAGGAAGTTAACATAAAATGGAAATTTAAAATTTCAATTTTAGTTTATATGTGACATATAAATTTAAAAGTGAGAAGTTTAGACTAAGATCAGCATTAGTGTGGAGGATCAAAAAAAAAAAAAAAGGAAAAGATATGCTAAAGAAGTTTTTCTTTAAAAAAAGCAAGAGTAAAAATTTATTTTTTCAAAGTCTGGAGATTTTAAACCATTTCTAGACATCTTTCTGTTATGCACTGTTATGAAGGAAGCTTGGTGCTTTACATTTTGATATGCGACTTTCAGGAAGATAAAACAACATCTATTACACCAGCAAATTTGGAAAACTCAGCAGTGGCCACAGGACTGAAAAAATCAGTTTTCATTCCAATCCCAAAGAAAGACAATGCCAAAGAATGCTCAAACTACCACACAATTGCACTCATCTCACATGCTAGTAAAGTAATGCTTAAAATTCTCCAAGCCAGGCTTCAGCAATACATGAACTGTGAACTTCCAGATATTCAAGGTGGGTTTAGAAAAGGCAGAGGAACCAGAGATCCAATTGCCAACATCTGCTGGAAAATCAAAAAAGCAAGACAGTTCCAGAAAAACATCTATTTCTGCTTTATTGATTATGCCAAAGCCTTTGACTGTGTGGATCACAATAAACTGTGGAAAATTCTGAAAGAAATGGAAATACCAGACCACCCTACCTGCTTCTTGAGAAACCTGTATGCAGGTCAGGGAGCAGCAGTTAGAACTGGACATGGAACAATAGACTGATTCCAAATAGGAAAAGGAGTAGTTAAGGCTGTATATTGTCAACCTGCTTAGTTAACTTATATGCAGAGTACATCATGAGAAACGCTGGACTGGAAGAAGCACAAGCTGGAATCAAGATTCCCAGGAGAAATATTAGTAACCTCAGATATACAGATGACACCACCTTATGGCAGAAAGTGAAGAGGAACTAAAGAGCCTCTTGATGAAAGTGAAAGAGGAGAGTGAAAAAGTTGGCTTAAAGCTCAACATTCAGAGAACTAAGATCATGGCATCCAGTCCCATCATTTCATGTAAATAGATGGGGAAACAGTGGAAACAGTGTCTGACTTTATTTTTGGGGGCTCCAAAATAACTTCAGATGATGATTGCAGCCATGGAATTAAAAGACACTTACTCCTTGGAAGGAAAGTTATGACCAACATAGACACCATATTCAAAAGCAGAGACATTACTTTGCCAAAAAAGGTCCATCTAGTCAAGGCTATTGTTTTTCCAGTGGTCATGTATGGATGTGAGAGTTGGACTATAAAGAAAGCTGAGTGCTGAATAATTGATGCTGTTGAACTGTGGTGTTGGAGAAGACTCTTGAGATTCCCTTGGACTGCAAGGAGATCCAACCAGTCCATCCTAAAGGAGATCAGTCCTGGGTTTTCTTTGGATGGACTGATGCTGAAGCTGAAACTCCAATACTTTGGCTACCTGTTGGAAAGAGCTGACTCATTTGAAAAGACCCTGATGCTGGGAGGAATTGAGGGCAGGAGGAGAAGGGAATGACAGAGGATGAGATGGTTGGATGACATCACTGACTCATTGGATATGGGTTTGGGTGGACTGTGGGAGTTGGTGATGGACAGGGAGGCCAAGTGTGCTACAGTTCATGGGGTCGCAGAGTTGACGACTGAGTGAACTGAACTGAACTGATTATGCTTGCACAGGTGGTGTCCTAAGTTCTGTCAACAATTTTGCCAAACACTTTTATAAATGAAAGTTCAGAAATCCCATCAATATTTTTAATATCTTATGTGGTCCAAAAAAATGACAATAACCCAGTTTCATGCTGTCTATATGATATGATGAGTGATGGATCCTCCATTTGAGGTAGACATTTACTTCCTGGATAAGCTCTGTACAGTTCCTAGAAGATCGGCTCATCTCAAACTGAGGCATCATACTTAGTTTCCTCTAGACTACTCTCAGTAAATCTGATTTTTCTTCTAGGTCTTGCTGCCCTAATTATGTGCCTCTATTTAAAATTCATCACTGATTTGATTAACCTCAAATGCCATTCATAATCCAGCTGTCAGAGGCAAGAACTGAGTAGCAGCTGGGAATATGAAACAAAGCAAAGCAGACAGCGCAGCAGAGCATTAAAAGGAGTGGAATGACAAATGGGGAATACCACCAGGAATAGAGAATTACCGTAGGAGAACAACTCAAAAGCACTTTGCATGATCAAATTCCACATGTACTTGTTTGGATGCTCTGGGAAATGCAGGCAGCTCTGTCTGCTGTTCATAGCAAGTTGTTCAGTGTCTAAAAGATAATTAGGCAAGTTGGACTACTATGCTGTTTTTCAGCACATATTATGCTGAAACACTGTGATAATAAGGCAATTTTATATAAGCTTAGCCTTTAAACTATGCTCAACTTTTTTTTCCTGAAAAGGATACCCTAAACTTCAAACCATGATTATCCCACTAATTATTATGGCTTAATGAGACATAGAAGAATGAAAAATAATTGCCCCAGGTTCAAAGACAAATGTGAAAATAGACATTGCATTTTAATTAACAAGACCATTAGCATTTTTTTTAAAGCTGTCTATAATGTTTGGAGTTTAAAAAGTGATCTATAAAGCCATGCTAAGGAAACCTAAGCATGTGATTCTTATCTGCCAGAATGAAAAAATTTGATTTTGCTGCTCACAAGAAAACTGTTTACCATACACCAACCAATCATGGAAAATAGGAATATTTACTACATAATAGTACTTTGGTGAGGAATTAGTATTCTAATAGGAGGATTGCTTTCCTAAAATGCTATGTTGCTATTTTCATAAAGTATATCTAGACATAATTGGCTTCCAATAGCAACCATATAGTACAATAGTTAAGAGCACCTACTCAGTCATTTGCTTGATGTGTTACATTCAGCAGTTACATGTGTGTCTCAGCTTCCTGTTCTGTAAAAAATAAAGTAAGTTATAATGGTATCTTCATTGGAAAAGACCCTGATGCTGGGAGGGATTAGGGGCAGGAGGAGAAGGGGAGGACAGAGGATGAGATGACTGGATGACATCACCGACTCAATGGGCATGGGTTTGGGTGAACTCTGGGAGTTGGTGATGAACAAGGAGGCCTGGCGTGATGTGATTCATGAGGTCGCAGAGTCGGACACGACTGATCGACTGAACTGAACTGAACTGAACTGAGTGCATAAGGAAGGACTGATGCTGAAGCTGAAACTCCAGTACTTTGGCCACCTCATGTGAAGAGTTGACTCATTGGAAAAGACCTGATGCTGGGAGGGATTGGGGGCAGGAGAAGGGGACGGCAGAGGGTGAGATGGCTGGATGGCATCACCGACTCGATGGGCATGGGTTTGGGTAAACGCCGGGAGTTGGTGATGGACAGGGAGGCCTGGCGTACAGCGTTTCATGGGGTGACAAAGAGTCGGACACAACTGAGCGACTGAACTGAACTGAACTGAATGCATAAGGTTTTTCAGATAAGTTGTTAATATAGTAAAATGCTTAGAAAAGCACCAAGTAAAGAGTAAATACTGAGTATTTACTGTAATTATTATTATCACTGCCATTGTTTTGTTACTATTACTGTCATTTCAGTGAAGAATAAACCAATTTTGATTCTTCACATCTTAATTATTAATGAAACAATTTTATGAATAATTTATTAATTATAAATTATTAATGGAAACAAGTATTTTTTCCACAGATGTTACTTTATTAATATCTTCCAGATTCCTTCTGGAGTAGTTACAGAGTTGAACACAAATAGAAATGTACTAAGTATTTACATACTTTAGAAATTTTTGCTTACCATAATTAGCCTAATAACCCATTATTTGTAAATTAATTGTAATTATTAAATAAGGAGTCTGAGTTTAATAAAATTAAGTAATCCATAGAAAAAGCATAAATAATCATGACTCCAAATCTGATTATTCCCTTTAATTTGTTGTTGTTGTTTAGTCCCTAAGTCATGTCTGGCTCTTTTGCATCCCTATGTACTATAGCCTGCCAGGCTCCTCTGCTCATGGGTTTCCCAGACAAGAATACTGGAGTGGGTTGCCATTTCCGTCTCTGGGGCTCTTCCCAAGCCAGGGATTGGACACGTGCCTGCCAATTTGGTAGGTAGATTCTTTACCACTGAGCCGCTCTGCCTGCCAATGCAAGAGATGTGGATTCGATCTCTGGGTCAGGTAGATCCCCTGGAGAAGGAAATTGTAACCCACTCCAGTACTCTTGCCTAGAAATTCCATAGAGAGAGGAGCCTGGCAGGCTACAGTCCATGGGGTTTCCAAAGAGTTGGACCAGGGCTTATCAATTAAAACAATGTTCCCTTTACTTAGAGAATAGTAAATTCTCAAGAATATACAGAGATCCTGGTCTTCAAAAGGTAGTGACACCAAGTTTCCCTTTCTTTGCAACAGAAAAAGAGGAAATGTTGGAAAACAAAATAGTGAAAAAATAGAAATATAAAAAAATAATATGTGTAAATCAGTATATTTCTCTTAGTTTGATTCAATGATCCTTATTAAAGTGACAAATGTATTTCAGAAATTTTTTTTCAGTTTTCAGAAAGGTAAAGGTTTACATAAAATATGTATACCCTCAGAAAGGAATGGGAAGAAAAGAGTGTAAATAATGATTGTATATAGTTTCACTAGAATTCAATTCAGATTGTATAGCCAAAAGTCTGTCACTTTCAAAAAAACTTTTATTTTCAGAGCTGTTTAGATTCAAAAGTAACAGACAAGAATAATTTACTTGATTTTACTCATCATATCATTGAGTTGATTTTCAAATTAGGAGTGTTTTTACTTTGCCTTAGTCATTCACTTATTAAAAAATTCTTACAACTATGTACTTTACCTATGATATACATACATTCCATGGCCTTTATATATTCAATATCTTTAAAAATATATAAATCAACTATTTTTTCCTTATTATCCCCAGATCTCACTAACTGATTAACAAAGCCAGATTAATTTAACAAAATACCAAAAAGAGCAAAAATGACTGACGCTGACATCTGATGTCTATTAATCATCTATTAATCATCTTCTTATCTACCTATTTATCTTTTTTTAATTGAATGATGACATTCCATATAGAAGTTCTAAAACTTAAGTTCCAGTCATTCTCCATTTGGATATATGGAGAATTTGCAAACATCCTGGAAGAGCATAATAAATGTGCATTTTTTAAAAAGTATGGCTTTCTTATACTAAATCAGATCCTCAAAATGATCCATAAATCAAATTAAAAATTACAAAAACAAGTTTCAAATATCATAGAATTGAACTTTCTGATAAGAATTTGTGTCTCAGAAGTGCATCATTAGTGTATCCCCCAGAATATTTTTAAGAATAAAATTATGGGAAGTGGAATATCCTGTATGCATCTGCTGCACAGGCCCTTCTGGTGCTTGTCCTTGATGCTGGCACAGTCTGTATCAGTATGCCTGGAGACAAACTGGGAACAAGTGTAAGCCATGCATGCAGCCCAGGGAACTCCAGCTGACTTTACCCAAGTTGACGTTGAGTCCAACTGTAATCATTGTTCACTTGGTAGAAATTACTTGATCCTACATTTTACAAAACTCACGCCAGTACTAAAAATGTCTTTTCCTGCCAGTTTGCTCCTTTGTTTACACAGAGAAAGTATGGGGTTCCCCATGTTAACATTCTTGATATGTTCCCAGGTATCATGTATATGAAGATAGAATAGAGATATTCTTCCTCTGAGGGTTTTATTTTGGCAGCTTTCTTCCAAGTATTATTGAAAACTTGCCCTTACACAGGGTTCTTATTTAAAAGTGATCTAAGTAAATACTAGTGTCTTAACCTTTGCCAATTTTGTGTGTTCATTATTCCCCTGAGAGCAGTCAGACACAAAGTGAGTTTTGAAGGCAGGAGCTTTCATCTCTGGTCAAAACCATTGAAAATGCAGCACAAAATAAGAATGGCTCCTAATATTTCATGTAAAGGAGTGCTTGTCATTCACAGGAAAAAATATTGAATTTACATGCATTAAGTAAAACAGAACAATTAAACTAAAAGCTGGTTAGGAAGTATCAAATAAGCACGGGCATATATGAAACACTGAAGAGACATAACATCAGTTATGGAAAAGTTTTATATCATTCATTATAAATTTCAAATTCCTCATGTACTCAAACAGTTTTCACTGTTGAGAGACCATGCCCTCTCATATTTATACAGAGAGAAATTCATCCCTGGTAACTCAGTTAAATAACAATTGAAAAGGTCTCTGTTGGGAAGATATTAAAATGATTTTTTCTTATTTTTATACCTATAATTCTTGCTTTAAGCTATAATTTTAAAACATCAACTACTATTACTGAAAACACTGTGATAGGAAGCCTGCACAAATATTTTCTCCTAAAACATACTCTAAATACTTTAAAAGAACCATGTTGTTCTAATGTTTCCTTCTTTTCTCTTCATAATCTGGATGTACCATAAATGCCTAAAGAAAAGTATATTAAAATAAGAGTCACTTATAACTACCATTTTAATAAGCATGGTTATTAAGTGTAGGTATAAAATATTATTTTAATAGTGTCTATATGATTTAAATAGAGTTTTAAAAATATCTGAACAGCTGGCTCTAATTAGGGCATGGTGGTGGCTGGTGGTTTACTAGATAAGTCCTATCTGACTCTTGTGACCCCAGGAATTATAACTCTTCAGTCTCCTCTATCCATGGGATTCTCCAGGCAAGTATACTGGAGTGGGTTGCCATTTCTTTCTCTAGGAAATGTTTCCACTCCAGGGATCGATCTTGAGTCTCCTGCATTGAAGGCACATTCTTTACCACTGAGCCACCAGTGAAGTTTTATAGAAATATTTGCAAGATTTAAAGAGATAGAATCTAAGTAGAGCCATAATGTTTGCATGAAGCTTCCCAAATTTGCTCAGATCTTTAGGCAAGAGCTTAGAAGCAGAAGAAAATTGCAGAAGTACAATGCAGTTTTCATCACATGATATCATACTAGGAGCGTGACTTACTGTAGGTCCGGATCTCCATCATTGACTAAAGTAGTGCTTTGCAGATCTCTCCACTAGAAGCACCCCTTTTTTCCTCTTTCTGTACTGTGCTCTTCACAAGGAAGTCATTCTTTACAGCTCAATCTTAAATAGTGAAGAGTTAATGCTTCATTACCTTGAGAATGGACTATCTTCTTATTTAGAATTCTTCTGTACAAGAGTTTTGTATTATTTCTCTTATTTATTTGTATTTCATACATTCCTTTATG